ACTCAGTATTTGCCACTGTCGCCTTAGAGCGTGTTAAGCTAATGTGCACAGATTACCTCTAAGATCACTAAGCATCATGCTTGCTGGGAACTGTGTTCTTTCTACAGGTCGGAGATTATGTGTTTGCCAAAATCATGATACCCCAGGGATTTGACTTCTATGTCCCCGCCATTGTCGTGGCACTTCCGAACCAGGATGTCCCCGGAGATAAATTCTACACCGTGCTAAAGTGCAACAACCGGAGAGTAAGTGGGATTTCGTTCAGAAGGGACTACCTGGCTAGGTGGCGAGTGACTGGTTTTTTTTCTTGCCTTTCTTCTGGGCAACACTTAGCTGTCTTGACACACCCAGATGTCTCCAAAGAATTATTTCTCTACTGCTTCCCCACTCGTCCGCTCCCTGTGGTTGCGCTCCTGCCCGCTCTACAACACCACGTCTGCACGTACTCGGACTGTCCTGGCTTCATAACGCCTACAGCTAACGAACCGTCTTTGGGGTGCCCGTCCTGCCTGACTGGGCCACAGACCTTGACAAATGGGACACACGGAGCTGGCTTCACCCGTGACCTTCCTGGGTCCTTACAGACCCACTCTGCCTGGCTTCCTCTCCCATCCTCGATTGCTCCCACCTTCTTTAAGCTTAAGGAGCCCTGGTGGCGTAGTTGTTACACGTTGGGCTGCTGACAGCAAGGTCTGCAGTTCGAGACCACCAGTCTTTCTGTGGGAGAAAGACCGGGCTTTCTACTCCGGTGAAGAGTTACAGTCTCAGAAACTCACAGGGGGCAGCTCTGCCCTGTCCTATGAGTCGGCATCGACTCGGTGGCAGTGATTCTGTTTTCTTTTCTTAAGCTGCTCTTCCAGCCCTTATGGAGGTGGGTGCCTCCTCTCCTTCTCTGATGCCTCATGACCTCTCTCTCAGGGTGGGCCTCTACCTTTGGCTACCTCCTCTGTGTCCTGGGGAGCTGCCTCCACACCTGCCCTGAGCCCCAAATCTTCCTCTCCAGCTGGGTCCTGCTGAGCATCTCCCTCCGAGTGCACATCAGACCTGCCAAGGTCAATGCTGTGACCTTTCTCTGAGGACCTCCCTCTGTGATCCCTGTGTCAGGGAATGCCAGCACACGCTTCCTACCTAGTTAGGAGTCACCCCCTCACCGGGGGAGGAGGGGCAGGCAGCCGTGAGCCCTGGTGGGGGAGGCACCAAATGGAACAGACTAGAAAGAAGAGAGGTTTCCAGAAGCAATAAGAGCTGCTGCAGTAGGATTCATGGAACATGTTCCTGCCCTTTCTTCGTTGATCAGCTCCTTGTTGAACCTCACTTTCATCACATGTGAAATTGAATATGTAAGCATATATTGCTACTACACGTGTGTATCCATAAGCACACATGGAGGGAGAGTGAGCAGGGTACCCCAGTGGTAGGAGTGAGGAGTGGGGCTGCAAGACACATTGCCATTCTGGATCCTCGCTCCTCCTGCACTCCCCGGACCAGGGAGTTGGAGCATTTGGTTCATTTATCACCCCTCTGCTCATTGACTCCTGCAGTCGACAGTTGTTAAGCACCCATATTTCCTCTTGAACTGTTTGTCTTTTTCATTGATTTGTGGCCATGCTCGATGCCTTCTGGGCAGTAATTCTCAGTGATATATGCCACCAATATTCTTCTCCCAGTTC